AACAAGTGGTGCGGGGCAGGTCTACATCTTCAGCCCTGCATCCGTAAACCTTACAAAGCTAAACCCTAAACCCCTATAAGCCCTAATCCCTAAACCCTAAACCCCTAAACCCTAAAGCCCTAGACCCCTAAACCCTAAACCCTAAACCCTAAACCCTAAACCCTAAACCCTAAGCCCTAAACCCTAAACCCTAAACCCTTAAACCCTAAAACCCTAAACACTAAAGCCCTAGACCCCTAAACCCTAAACCCTAAGCCCTAAACCCTTAACCCTTAAGCCCTAAACCCCTAAACCCTAAACCCTTAAACCCCTAAACACTAAAGCCCTAAAGCCCTAGACCCCTAAACCCTAAACCCTAAACCCTAAACCCTAAGCCTCAAACCCTAAACCCTAAACCCTTGAACCCTAAAACCCTAAACACTAAAGCCCTAAACCCCTAAACCCTAAAACCTAAGCCCTAAAACCTAAGCCCTAAATCCTAAACCCTAAACCCTAAACCCTAAAACCCTAAACCCCTAAACTCGGCCTCCCCGCCTCGGTGGCCTCCTCTGTCGCTCCTGGGACTCAGGAGGTGCACATTTTCTCGGAGCCTAATATAGAAGCCTAAATAACTACCTAGACTATTTTGGGGGCTCCTTATTATAAGTCTAGTATAATGGGACCCTTAGTAAATTAGAATAGGGTTTTGGGGGTTCCTTATTATAATTATAGTGTAATATACCTCAAAACCGTATTCTAATTATTATAAGGACCCTACATTGCTCACCCACTCACCCCCAGACACAGAATGTCAGAAGTCTCGCGACTAAGTTCCGGCTCGAGCATTCCTCGTCAGATGCACGTCACTGGCGAGGCGTGCGGCTGTCAAGGGAGCCGGATGCTCGAGGCTGGCCGCCAAGTCTGCAGGTCGGCTCTTGGAGTCGGCGAGGCCACCGACCCTCGGGCCGAGACGCCGGGTTTCGGATCGATGATCGAGTTGGCAGGTCGCAGACGCTCAACACGTGCGCGAAGTGAAGCTCCTGCGGCTCATCCACCATCCTGGTTTGAAGCTGTAAGACTCCTTCTCCTTTGCGCCTGCCGATGCGTGAGTCCACGTGAGTCCTAATTAATACCAGTTTCGCCTGGACAATGCCTTGAGCTTCCCCGGCACACAACCCCTGGTCGAAGGCGCGAGCTGCACCTTGGAGGGAGGCGACACCCGCCGCACAAAGACTGCCGAACAGAAGCCCGAGCGCATCATCAGACGGCACTCGACCCGAATGGTTAAACTGTCAACTGCAATTCCCACAAGCTGAGCCTGAGGTGGGTGTCCTGACCGGCAGCTACGAGCATAGGGGCCTTAATGCTGAAAGAAGAGCTTTCCACGGTTTAGGGGGTATTGGTGTAGGGCTTGAATAATTGGATTTAGGTTTTGGGGTCTAGTACACTGTTACTCATCATTCCCCCCTTTTTATGCCACCATAAGCCCAAGCAAGTCCTTTGAGTTCTTCGACCCGAGTGCCCTAAGACCCTAAAGCCTCGTAAGCCCTAAACCCCAAACCCTAAACCCAAAACCCTAAACCCCACAGCTTGAACCCATCCCTTGAGGTTGTCCTCCTACTCTTCGATCAATCAGGACCAGGCGGTCTGGTTTAGGTTTAGTACCCAAGGTTTTCAGTTTGCACTCTGGGCTTTTTTCCGTTTGAGTTCCTAGAAGGGCTCCTAGAAGGGTTTTTCAGGGGTTTTTTGGCTGTCAGAGCAAGGGAGGGAAGCATACGCCCGACTTGCATGAGAGCCCGTTTCGTATCGGGCGGAAGACGTGCTGCCGATCGGATGAGGTGCCGGAGAAGTGTCTTCGTCATCAGCTCTTTATACTCGTGCAGCAGGAGATGGCGGCGAAGTCCTGCATCCATTTTCCAACCCCAGCTTTGGGTTTAGGGTTTAGGGGCCAAAGCCTAAGGTTAACCCGCCGTCTCCATGTGTTGTGATGCCTCCGAAGGCGTCCGATGGCCTGCGCCGTTGGAAGACGATTGGGAGGCTGTCAGGGTGAAGGACCAAGGGCTCTTATGACCAGAGCAGGCGGGACGAAAGCCCAAGCAGCTTCCTCAACCGATGAGTTGGAGGCAGCCTAAACCCTAAACCCCAACCCCTAAACCGCTAAACCCTAAAACCCTAAACCCCTAAACTCCTAAACCCAAGAGTCTGTTGAAGTCGACGAGTGGCTGACTTCGATGATGCAATGCTTAAGGGCTCAGAGGACTTAGTGTCTAGGGTTATAACTGGGGTAGAAAAGTTCCCTAAGTGGGTTCTCCGAAGTTTAATACGGTTTAGGGTTTAGGGTCTAGGCTTTTTAGCCCTACTTATAACTTACTTACGAAGTCCCATGGGCCTTTAAGTGGTATGAAAGGAGCCGTGGCCGTGTAAGGTCTTATGGTTTCCGGCTCTAGCGCAGTCTCGGGTGAAAGGTTTCGACCATGGATCTACATAGTTTGTACATCGGGGCGTTGATACTTAAACCAGTGTTTAGGGTTATTTTCTGTTTTAGAGATGTTAGTATAAGCAGCCCTACGAACAATATTGGTATCCATTTCTGGCGCAAAGGGTTAAAGCAAAAAGGGGTACAATCTTGGGAGCTTGCTGGTGCGGGGTCTACTTCGACCCGTGGAGTTTAGGGGTTTGGGGTTCATGGCCACTTCTGTAGCTTTGTACGGGACTTAATTTAAGCTGGTTTTTGGCGACTTGCAGCACCTTGTATGCACCCTAGGAAGAGACCCATAAATCATTCAAGAACAATCCTTAAACCGTAAACCCCAAGCCCCAAACTCCAAGCCATGACGCTCGTTTCTGGACGTGCTGCAAAGCAGGAGACGTCTCTCCGCGACACGCGGCGGCCCTATCCCGAGGTGGACTGATTGGTGGGAGGTCGAGGTTTTTGAGGTTTGTTATACCTAGCTAGCCCTAAACGTTGGTTTTTTCGGCGATGACAGAAGACCAGAATAATTCATAAGCCCGTTGAAGAATCCTCATATAAACCCTCAACGAACCCTCAAGACAACCCTAAAAGTTTCAAGGTTTTCGGGAATAGGGTTTGGGGTTAACTTTTATGATGCCCTAAATAATAAGGTATACTTGAAGGGTCTAGGTTGTTGTGAGAACTGAACAACTGTCTTTTTCTGGGGTTCGGGGGAAAGTAAGTACCGACATCTTTGTGCGTGAATGCATTTCACTGGATGGGGGTCTTCTGGTGAGGGTGCGCGGCCTTAACCGAAATGGTTGCGCAGAGTTCGGCAAAGACGTCAAGGCACTCTGAGGTCTGGGGGGGGTATAGTTTTACTCTAAATGACATTAAAGCTAGAAGTGCCTTGGCCCTATAGATCTTCAACCCGAAGAGCCAAACCCTCGACCCTAAACCCACCCTTTGCACCCCTAAACCCCTAAACCCCAAAACCCTTAAACCCCAACCCCCAGTAGCCCCCATCCACCGAGTCCGTGTGAGATCTAATCGGCAGCGGTGGCATCGACTAGCAGGAAGATCAAGAAGGGAATGAAAAACCCTAAACCCTAAACCTCATGAAAATACAAACGAGACTGGAGGCCGACGTCGACAGGCATCAGCAACATTCCGACTATTTTGAGCATCCCAAGAGCTTCATGGAAGAGGGTAGTGAAAAGCATCCTGCCTGAAAACTTCAAGATCTACGACGATGCTCTGGACATCTCGCAGATCAGCCACTTTTTTGGTGGGCTTCTCCAGGAGCCCAGCCTGCACGACTTCTCGATCAGCCCCATGCCCATCGGATGGCGCCCAGGTGTGCAACCTGCTGCATTCGAACTTCAGGACTTCATGGACAGAAGATGCGACCAAGCCCCCAGCCTCGCCAGAACCCTAAACCCTAAACCCCTGAACCCCCAAAACCCTAAATCCCTAAATCCCTAAACCCCTAAACCCCGAACCCCTGCACCCGAAGTCGAACCCGTGAAGCCCTTGCGATGTTCTGGAGCCAGGCCACGGAGCCTCGTGCCGGAATAGAGCCAGGCCGGTTACCAGGGTTCCGGAGCCAGAGCCAGGCTCCAGGGTTTAGGGTTGAGGGTTTGGGGTGTAGGGTGTAGGGTTTAGGGTTTAGGGTTGAGGGTCTCTTTGTTTGTGAAACAGGGTTTCGGGTTTTAGGATTTTAGGTTTGAGGGTTTCACTGTTTAGGATGTTAGGGGTTAGGGTTGAGGATTTGGGGTTCAGAAATTTAGAGGGGCTAAGGGTTTAGGATGTGAGCTACAACTACTCGTAGCATGTGGACACCGGAATGGATCATGTTACGGCCCGTAGGTCCTTCACTCTAAACCCCAAACCTTAAACCCGAAACCCAAACCCAAAGCCCTGAATCCTACAGCCCATAGAACAGGCGGTCGGAAAGGGCATGTCAATACACATTTAAAAAACATAGAATCCACGTTCAAGAACTTGGGCTTGCTGCAAGTATTGGCTGCGGTACATTTGCAGATTACCGGGTTTCCGACCTATACCTAGGGCTCAGAGCGTGCAGTAAGGAGTTGCCCCAACTACCAAGCCCTTACAAGCAACATGGGTCCACTCCTATAGTATATATATATATATATGTATATATATATATATAGATATTAGCATATGCCCAAAATTGGTTCTCATCATTATAGCCCCTCATATTGAGGTAAGGGGTTTCGCTGGATGGAAAACTCTTTCGAGTAAGCCCCTGGCATGCTTAACACTTGCAAGCAGCACCAGCACCCTGTAATATAGAAGCTTGGTTGCATGCAAATACAGACGAAAACCATTCTTTTGGCTTCCTGTTATGATTATACAAACTACATATCATGACTCTTCAGGGTTGACACTTCAGGGTTGACAAATGTAATCATACCCCAATATTAATACATCCAACAACCCTACGTATTGTAATGCTTAAGGCCGCTATCGCATAAACTCTGAATTCCAAACCCGAAGCCCGAAGCAGTACAACGTAAACCTAAACGGCACGGCTTAAACCCGAATTCGCTTCAGGGTCTCGAGTTTCTCTCTGAATACCCTAAACCCGCGACCTCAAAGTCAGCCTGCTAAAACAATGCCGTAAACTGTCAATCCCAAAGTCCTGAATCCTAGCAAAACTAAAGAAACCCTCAATCCTTCTGGATCCGATAAAAGCTCGCTGTTAGGTGCCACGTCAGGAAGGTGGCGGCGGGCCTCTCAAGCTGTTGAGGATCGGCTGAAGCTTTATTGAAGGGCAGGCTTGTGCAAGAGGGTTACACAAAGCGCATTTTACACGAGTTTCGGGTGTTGAGTTTGGGAAACCGAGCAGAGAAGGCATTGGGATGTGGGGGAGAAGGACAGGCATTTGTGCCGGAGAGTTTGTGTTCACAACAGGCACATATTGCTCTTTGCATTGGGCTCTCAATTTCGGTTCGTAGTGTGTTGTGCCCGGCTCCTGCCATAGTGTGATGGTTTGATGGTTTGGTAGGCTATAAGCCACTACGCCCGCAACCCATCAAAGCCCGAGCTCTCTATTCCCCGAACACCTCAACCCCCAATGCCCACACCTCAAACCCCAAAACCTAAACACTAAACAGGCCGTATAAAAGGGCCATAGAACCCACGTAATTAGAATCTTCGCAACAGCTTATGGAACCCCGACACTGAGCGATAAACCCCTACTGTAGAAACAACCCTGCACCTAAAACCCTGCACCGAAAGCCCTGGCACTTAAACTGAAACTATAAGCACCAAGCACTCGCTTCAAAACCCTTAACCCTAAAACATAAATTCCTAGGTCTACAGCCATAGACCCTAATCAGCCTTACAATTACCGTACTGTAAAGCTCATCTCGAAGGTGCTCCTTGGTCGACATCTCTGCCAGGTTTAAGGTTTAATATAGGGGCCTTGATATTCAATTACCTGTACTTTTTTGGGGTTCCTTATTATAAGCATAGTAGTATCTTTGGGCACGACGTGCCTCGACCCTAAACCCCAATCCCTAAATCCTAAACACCAAAATTAAAAACCCCCAAAAAAGTTGCCTTAATACTTAGAATAGGGTTTTGGGGTCCATTAAGACGCTGCTTTGGCTCGGAATGACAACTGCCTGGGAGCATTTTTGCTTGGTCCTTGTTCGTGCTCACATTGAAGTACCGACCATTATCGGGCGACCGCGCCAGCTTAAGTGGATCCCTAACTTTGATAGGCTCCCTCCTCCCCTTTGGCGCTCCGGGGCACCCATAGGGTTTGAAGCTGCTGCCAAATGGGCTCGTGAACGCAAGCTCGTCGATGTTGTGGCTGGCAGCCTGGATTCTGCTAGCTCGGCTGCTCAGTGCTTCAGCCCGGTTTGCCTACTGTTGAAAGCGGCGTGCGAGGCAAGCAATCGGAGCGCCTTCCTGCGCCTGTGTGCGTGCTGCCAGTGCCTAAGCCCCGTGCTGCTGCAAAGCCGACGCGACTTACTGACGACGAGCTCACTCTTGATGAGCAAGCCTTGTTGACTGGCTTAACCGGTGTTGCGCGCAACCAGATGCTCAAGTTGATTTTGCACAATAGGTCAGCTGTTGAGCGTGGAAAGCATTACATCGTGCGTGGTCATGCTGCTAATTCTGCTGGGCAGTTGAAGTGCCGTGATTGTGCAATGACTGGCAGATGGGCCGAATGGAAGTTCTTTGCTACCGTTGCTAAGTGCAAGCGACAGTATGATGGAGAATCCTTCACTCGACGCACCATCCGTGAACGTACTGCAGCCCATAACCGCACTGCGGCTGCTGAAGGTTGTCATGTTGTTGAGATCTTGCAGGACTATGATCGTGTCCAATGCACTGCGTGCGGCAAGGTGCAACCACAATCGACCAGGCTGGATGCTTTTCTGGCTTCAGCCTGCAGAGCTGCTGCACTTGTGCAGTAACTTGGCTTGCTCCGCTGCCTTGGGCAGCGACTTCGTGTTCGCTTGGAATGGTTTTCGGGGCGGTCCAGCATGGCGGCTGCCACCTACTATATGGAACCCTGTAAGACAACTGCAAAAGCGCAAAGCAAGGCATCGCCACGCGCAGCGACAGGAAGCCACAAAAGGATCGGCAAGGCACGTCCGAATACGAGCCGCCACCAACACAAGACGTTCCGTTACAAGGATGTGACGAAGGCGACGATGGACCTCTCATTCAAAGCTAGGTATGTACTTCAAAAAACACAGACCATGGAAAGTGAGAGCAGTGTAGAAGATCTGACTTTGCTGTCAGTGGACAGCATTCCTGTGCTTGACTATAGATTGTTTATAGCGCCCTGTAGGCTGTAAAGAACCCAGTAGAACCCAACAGAACTCTTTTGGAACCTCTAGAGAGCATGTTAGAACCCTATAAAGACGTTCCAAAAACCTTTAAACTTATATGTGTACATATATATATATATATAGAGAGAGAGAGAGCTAAGAAAAGCATCCTGTAGAACCAGTTGGAATTCTGTCGATCCAGCCATCTATCTATCTGTCGATCTATCTATCTATCTATCTAGCTATCTATCTATCTATCTTTCTATCTATCTATCTATCTATCTATCTATCTATCTACTTATCTATCGATCGGTCTACTTATCGTTCTATCTACCTATCTATCTGTCTATCGATCGATCGGTCTACGTATCTATCTTTCTATCGATCTATCTATCTATCTATCTGTCGCTCTTTCTATCGATCTATCTGTCGATCTGTCTAACGATCTATCGATCTATCTCGTTATCTACTATCTATCTATCCGCCTGTCGATCTATCTGTTTATCTTTATATCTGCCCAGCTACCAATCTATTTATCGACCTACCTAGTTGTTTATTTGTGTATAACGATAAGTAAAGCTCCATGGAACCGCCCTACAAGCCCAAACCCTTACCCCTATCTGACCTGTGCGTACGTACGTACGTACGTACGTACTGGCGTACACACGCATGCATGTTGATATACTTGGAATTGAAGTAATAAGTCAAGACATATGTATGTATATCTGTAAATTACCTCTTCTACCATAAACCAGTATTTATGTGTATATATATATATATACATATACACACGCTTGGTTACATACATATTCACGTATTTACGTTATCTCCCTGTAAAAACAAAAACATTTCGGAGTTCTTCGAAGGCGCTCCTGGCCTTGGACGAGGATCTTCAGCCTGGCCTCGGGCCCCTGTTTTGCGGTGTACTTCTAAGGGCTCCTTGAAGGAACCCTTTAGGATTTATAGGGTTTAGAGTTCAGAGTTTTGGGTTTAGGGTTTAAAATTTAGGGGTTAGGGGTTTGGGTTTAGGGTATAGGGTGCCTTCAAGGGCTCCTTTGAAGAGTCCTTAAGTCGATCTATCAGGGTTCATTGGATTTAGTAGTAGAGTAGGCAACCTTTAACCTGTTTGGGGGGTACTATGGGGGCTCTAGAAGGGTTCTTAGTAGAGTAGGTAGCCTTTAACGTTTTTGGGACACTATAACGCCCATAGAATCCTAAACGTTGACTTTTAGTCCCCCTAGGATGCTGGACAAGTTAAGGAACCCGGTATTTCTTCAAGGATTTTTCAGGGTTCCTTAGGGAGCTCCTTGAAGGCTTCTTGAAGGGATCTATTATGGTTTAGGAGAATAGGATCCTCTGACAGATTATAAGGTTCTCCTTGGTTACAGGGGCTTAATAATTGATGAACAAAGGTTCAGGGGTTCGGAGAACTTCAGGGTTCCTTGGAAGGTTGTTTTTGTTGAATTCCTTGTCGAGTTCCTTGAAAGGAATCTGTGATGCCTTTAGGGGTTCGGGGTTTGGGCAAGCCTAGGGGTTTAGGTTTTGGCAATCCTGGGGTGTTTGGCTTTGGGGTTTCCCAAAGCCCAGGCGCCCCAAATCCTACGAGCCCAAGCTCGAACAGTCTTTGGGCTTGGGGGTTTAGGTTTGACGTTAGCATGGTAAAGTTGATGGTTAGAAGGGTCTAGGGTCTGGGGTTTTTGGCGTTTAGGGTTCAGGAGCGGATTTGGGTGGTTCATGTTGTTTAGATGTCTTAATTCTACTTGCAATGACCTTGGTCTTCAGCACTGGTCAGCATGGAACCCATACACCCCCAACAAACATTTTACTTGGGACGGTGGGCCCACAAACTTTTCCGTGTGTTACTGAAGCCTGTGACATATTCATCGACCGTTAAGTGTGCTTGTTTTGGTGTGGAGAGGTTCGGGTACAGGGTTTAGGGTTTTAGGGTCTGACGGTTAGCTAGCTTGCGAATATCAAGTTCCCCCGCACATGCACCGTGAGCAGACTGGGCTTCCCATAAACAATCCTGCATTATCCAGAATCAGGCATTCACCACAGCCCCGCTTAGTGTAATGAAACCTGTATTAAGCCCTGTAAAAGCATATAGATCCTTCCACGCCCATATGCAGACGAACTCTGTAAAGCCAACATAGAGACCTCTAAACCCCCACACCGGATTGTGTCCATTAAGGGAGACAAAGCGCAGGCCCCAGGACTTACACCCAAGCGCCCAATTCAGCATGAAGGAGCCTTGATCCCTTCTAAACCCTGACAACCTAAACCTAAAACCCTGAACCCTAAACCCCTAAACCCTAAACTCCTAAACCCTGATCCCTGAACCCTAGACTCCTGAGCCCGAAACCCTCAGCGCCAAAACCCTAAACACCAAAACCCAGACCCTAAAGCTTTGGCCGGCCAGCCCTTTTTTGGCTCAAGTCCTTCTTCGGACATCCTGACAGTTAAGGACACCAAGGACCGACCCTCCGAGGGGTCGACTGGGGTGGGTTAGGGTTTATGTAGGGATCATGGGTTTAGGGTTTCGGATTCATGGGTTCAGGATTCATGGGTTTGGGGTTAGGGGTATATGTAGGGATCATGGGTTTACGGTTCACGGCTTATGGCTCAGAGATGGTTCATGGGTTTAGGGTCAAGGATTCATGGGTTCAGGGTCTGGGGTTCTTGTGTTTAGGGTTTAGGGTTCAGGGGTTAAGGGTTAAGGATTCATGGGTTTGGGGTTAAGGGTTCATGCGTTCAAGGTTTAGGGTTCATCTGTTTAGCTCTTATGGTTTGGAGGTGGTCTTTGTAGGATGCCCAACATGGTATAGTATAGTTTATGGGGGCGACAAGGGAACACTATTACCAAATGGGTGGCTTTAGGATGCCCTAGATAGTATAGTATAGCTTGATAGTGACCACGAAGGAATGCTATTACTAGTCAGCGCCTACAGTATCGTATCCCACGGTCCCTAAACCTAAAGGAGGGCACGCTAGCGCCCGCCCAAAATCGACGACCAATTGCTATGTCGACCTCGGAGAATGGCTTCGCCCTCCCCTTAAGTGCGACCTGAATCCCAATGCTAGAGCTCCTTGGAATGAGGGCCCCGCGCCCTACACCCCTAAACCCTCAGCTCTAGTCCGTAATCCCTAAACTCAGTCTAAACCGAGGGTCGGCAGTGCATGGAAGAAGCTGCACTTGAACAGGGCCCTTCTTTGAGGGTGGGATTGGATGTAGGATTTCGGTAGCAAGTCATAGGATTGAGGCTCCTCACTTGTGGAACCCTTCTACACCCCGGGCTTAGGGTTTAGGGTTATAAGATTCTGTAGAACTCTTTACCAAACCCTATCAAGCTCGATTAAACCCCACATAGTTTCTGTTTCTATAGCTAAGCAAAAAGGGGCCTTGGGCCCTGGGGATGACAGGGGGTTTGGGGCATATAGGTGAAGGGCTAAGGGGCTTAGGGGACTAGGGGCTTTGGGTTTACGGGCTTAGGGTTTAGGGGTTTAGGGTTTACGGGTTTAGGGATTTAGGGTATGCTACACCTGACCACCTAGAGAGTACCACCCCCCCCCAAACAAAAACGCCTATTCCAACTGGAAACGCACCTGGAGTGATCCTGTGGAGTCTTGTAAAGTTTTTCAACACAGCGTGCAAACAACAGTTCATCTAAAGTCTGATAAAACCCTTATAATAGACCCTACATATTGATTGAAGCCTAAGCCCTATGGAGGCTTAAAGCCTTAAACTGTAAAGCCCTAAACCTCTGAACCCTAGACCTCTAAACGCCTAAAGTGCACCCGAGGAGTCGCTCTACAGATAAGAGGGCTTGCAGAAATGCTGTTGGCTGCGGATCGCAAGCAGCTGGGCCCACAGTTTTAGAGCCTAGGGTTTAGGCAGTTTTTCGTTGTACTAATAATTAGGGTTTATCGGGCAGACGAGCAGTCTACAACTCCTATGAAGCCTTTATAGAACCAGCTTTGAAGTCAGAACTAAAGCCTTAGGGAGCCCATGGCAGAAGCCCTGAGAAGCATCCCAGGCAGTTCGACGAACCCACCCAGAAGACGGCTGGCCTTTTGTTGACCGTCCGGCGCTCAAGACCGAGACTAGGGTGTAGGGTAATCACGGTTTACGGCTCCGGGCTTAGGGTTCAGGGTTTAGGATGAGGAGTCTGAACAAAGCTAGTAATAGCGGCGAGGTTGAATAGAGTGCTTGAAAGGGCCCCTTCAACGAGCCCTATTCGACTTCTGACGCCCGCATATTATATTTTCGGATCCAAGCACCTCGACTCAGCCATACAATTGCCATTTTATGGGAGGTGTTGAGATTCTGGTTTGGGCTTCAGAGTTTGAGGGCACTCAGGGACTTAGGGTTTAGATGTTTTCCGGACGAGCTTGGGGCTGAGACGAAGGTTAGATTCCATGCAAACCGTGGGAGGGGCTCATGACACGGGGTTTTAGGGTTTCAGGTTTAGGGTTTCTGGTGTGGGGTTGCAGGTTTAGGGTTTAGGTTTGTTGTCAATGCCGAGCTCTCAGAACTGCCCAACCTCCACTACCACCGGGTATCTTGCTGGCGTGAAAAAAGAGTAGCAACCCCAAAAAGGCTCCTTGGTACCCTATAGGTATATATATATATATATACAGAGAGAGAGAGAGAGAGCGAGAGAGTAGTAGAACGTAGGGTTTCTATATGAAAATGTCCCTGAAGCTTTAATTTAAACCCTAACACCTGAAACCCTAAACCCTNNTAAACCCTGAACCCCAAAGCCTTAAAACCCCTTAATGACAGCCCTATACCCTAAAGCCCGAATAAACCTTCCCCAGGATGAAGTACAAAAGTGCCGGCCCACTGAAATCTGCACAGCACCCTGGCACTGCGTTCGAGGCTTTGGGATTTCAGGTTTGTTCCTTTACATGGGCTTATTGGGCTTGAAGTTTCGGGTTAAGGTACGTTTAAGATTGGTTAGGGCTGAATTCAATGTTATTAACACAACCGTGAACCCTAATCGGACAGCCATAACTTATGGTTGTATTGTATGTTTAGTTCAGGGCCGTTGCGGTTTCGGCTTTAAGGTACAGGCTGGGCTTAAGGATTGTGGGCTTCTGGTCGCAGGTTCAATATGTACGGGGTGTAGGTTTTAGGGTAAAGCACTAATCCCTAAACCTTAAACCTGGGGTTTGGAGTTCTTTCAATCCCAGGGTCGCAGATTTAAGGTTTTAGGGGCTTCGGGCTTGAAGTGAGGGGCTTCAGGATCTACTGTACGGGCCTCAATAATGAGGTATATTGTATGAGTCTTATACAAATATAAGGAACCCCCCCCCAAAAAAAAA